CAAAATCTTGTCTACTACATTGATAAAAATCCGTTCTTGATAATGTCTGAGGCGTTCGGAAACATTTGAGAAAAACTGAACCTAACCCATGACCCCAATGCACGATGTTGTATTCAGAAATTGTAAAAATAAAAATGCAATAGAAAAATTAAACAAAGAGATATTTTCGATTGAAAATAAAACTTGTCTGGACCAATTCTTGCTAGCTAAATATAGCGCGCGCACACATACACATGCATTATATATATAAAAAGAACACTCAAATATTGCTGCTTTCTCACGACTTAACGTTTCATGTGATGCTCTGTTTGTTATACGGTGATCTCACGATCTTCAGGAGGTTCAAATAACAAAATACGTCTAAAGATTGTGAGACCGCCGTATAAGCTACAGAGAGTCTATATAAAAATCGCGAGAAAGATATTTGACTATCGTTTTTATATATATATATATATATATATATATATATATATATAATATATATATATATACACACACACATTACATCAAGCACTGTTCTTACAGCGTCCTTATATATTTTATTAAACTATATATATATATATATATATATATATATATATATATGTGTGTGTGTGTGTGTGTGTGTGTGTAATCAAAACAGTGGGCTCCAAGAAAAACATGTCAAAATAAAATCCAAAATAAAATTAGAAAATTGCGAACGTAAAAAAAAAAAAAAAAAATAATTTTCAATCTCTCTTATTTTGAGGAAATTCAAAAACTTTCAGGTCTGTATCCACTTAAAGACAATTACGTAGATTTTGCAATGGATTGTTGGACAGTCAACTCAAAAAATCCAGGTCACCTACAAATCTACGCCAAGAGACTTTCTTTACCCAAAGAGGTAAGTGAAGCGGCTACAACTCAAAAGACTCAACAGCAACTATACGCCAGTTTCTCTAAGTCAGTTAACTTGTACTTCCTTTTTTCTCCTATAAACTGTATGTAGTGATATTTATGAAATAAAGAACTATCGCCTAATTACGTTTATTTCTAGGATATGAAAAGATAACTGCAGAAAAAAACACTGACAGCTTTACATATAAAAAAAAAATGTTGCAAAAATGTAAAAAAATTATACTTTAAAATTTTAGCACAATTGTTGTTATGCTTCTTGATTCTTTGAGGAACATAGGTGTAACCTATCCATCTCCATTCCTGTTTCTTGATGTCAATCTGTTCTGGGGATTGTCTGATCCTGTCCCACAGTTGTTCGTTGAAGACGACTTCCGTCTCCCTCGTATTAAGTTTGTTCCTGAGATATCGATTGGTAAAATGTCTGAAGTTTGTGGGTGTTGGCTTTTGTTACCCGCCATGTTTCTAACACGTAAAGTAGGTCAGGCTTCACGTTGGCTTTGAAGATCCGGATCTTGTTATATAAAGTGAGAGGGTTGTTGATCTCCAGATTGGTCGTAGAGTGTTGAAAGCGCGTCAGGCTTTGTTGATTCGGCACTTGATGTTTTCATCTCTACCCCCCACACACATACACACACCAATCTTTACTGAGGACGCTTCTCAGGTAGACAAACACTGGGTCTTGTTTAACACAATTACTGGAAGTTTATTTACTGTATTGTGATTCTGATAAATTAAATAAAATTACCAACCTTGTGATAGTGAGTCCTTTCTTCTTCCTATGCCCTTTTTTTATTTATTTCATTTTAGTGGACATTTATATAAAAACGTTGCAAAATTATATTTAGATTATCTTTGACTTAATCAACGTGAATTAGATTTGATCGTTAAAAAAAACTGTATTAATTTTTGTTTCCATTTTTTTATTTATTATTTTTATGATTTTATTTTTATCTTATTCATTTTTGTATTTGTTTTTATTGTCGATATTTCAATATTTTTCTTTACTGATTCTATCCACACGTGCATACTTAACACAGTGTAAAAACTGTATGTATACAAATACAAAAACGCATTTCAGCTACACATTCTATCCAAAGAAAAGCGATACTTAAGGCTTAAAATGCATTTTTTAAAATGAAAAATCTTTCTTGAAACTTTTATTTTAGTTTTAATTTCAAATTATTTCCAATGAGCAAAATACTTTGTTGTATCTGAAAAAGAATAAATTCATCGAAGTTATTTTTTAAATCGTTACAATCGCTAAAAATAAGTCATGTTGTCGAATCTGTCAACAATTCCCTTTCAAAAATAAAATACTTTTCTGAAACTTTATTTGAGGAATTATTATTTATAATTGTAACAATTACTTGACGAATAACGTGAAAACGCCTTTTTTTATATAATATTTAACTGCCTAGTAAACTTAAAACTTTAGGAAAATAATCTAATATTTTATTGAATTTTAAGTACTTTGGCATTGTAGTCTTAATTACGAAGACGCTAGTTAGAAAATTAGAAATATAATTACTAAATAATTACCGCTCTTATTTTCTGATAATGTCGTGTATGGATGGCAGTGTTTACAAAAGTTAGCACGTTTACACATACACACACTTTTTTTTAAATACTGGGGAGTCGCTGAATTGTAGTGAATTGTAGTGAGTTTTTCCATTTATGATCAGTAAATAGTTTTTATTTAATAATATCACCTAACCAGTACAAATTAATACAGAGTTTTAAACGATTTTAAACAATTTATGATTGCATTTTTTTTTTATTAAGACAATAGTGTCCATAATATTTCTTATTCATAAAAGCATTTTTTTATTTTACGATTCAGAGCAGATTTTCTGTAACTCGAGGTCCTGTTTCACAAAAAATTGATAATTTAAATTCTCCATGGACTTGTGCTTATAACTAATATAAAAATATAGTAAACTTTACAAAAAAGACTTTCTCGAAATTTCATAAAATTATATGTGGGTACTGTAACAAATGTAAAATATTTACCAAGATTAAAAAAATGTTTCTAAAATAATTCTATTCATTTGTCAACGAAAGTTTCATTAGAATCCGACAATTATTTGATTTTTATAAGAATATCCAAATCAATGTGCTTTTCACTGCAAAAAGTTTAAAAAAAAAAAAAAAAGACGTTAAAAAAATCTCCCATGTTATGGTCAACCATTGACGCAAGAAAAACAACATATTTTTAACCAAAAATTTGAAAGTTCTAAAAAGGATTAAAAAATTAATTTTAATAATCAAAAAATCCTTCGATCTTTCCTTCAAAGATTTTGACGATAAATTTAGTTTTTGGGGGCATCTTTTCCCCACGTATGCTCATTTTTAGTGAAGAGAGATATTATTCACATAAAGTAATTTTAGAGAAATCACTTTTCCCACAAATACTTTGTACTTGAAGATTTATTTTGGAAATATTTTTTTTATTATTCATTTTTTCTAAATAAAACTAAAACACTTATTGAAGTAAAAGAAAAGGTTTTGTCTTCATTACCATCACATAAGGCCATTATAAATCTCACAAAATTAGTTTTCCAAATATTTCTTTAATAAAAGAAAATTACAATGAATTGTTTGTTTGTTTTTTTGTTACGTCGTCCAAATTAAAAAGTGAAAGCAAAATTTGAAAAAAAAATAGTAGTGCCAAGCTTAACTCTCCAGAAGAAAAAAAGATAATGAAAACAGACATCTTTTATTTAATTTCTTTCATCTTTAAGATGAAGAAGTTGTTAAAAATTGTCGCTGCCGTACCTTTCAAACCTAACATGCAACTATCCCAGCGCAGATTTTGCAAAAACAGATTGACAGGTCTTTGCAAGTTCAGGTCATAAATACGTTTGTTTTGTTTTTTGGGGTTTTGTTTTTTGTTTTTTTTTTTTTTTTTTTTTTGTTTATGTTGCAAATAAGATCAACTTAGAGAATTAAATTCTCAAAATTTATAAAAGGAAAAAAAAATAGATAAATTAAATAAAATAACCCCAAAAAGTGAGGATGATAATCGTTAAAAAAACAAAATAAATTTCGCAGTTTCATCCGCCTAATGAGCGAATGCTGGATCTCTAGCGTGAAAAAAAATTTAAAAGAAAAAAAAATGTTCTTAGGCAGACAAAAATGAATAAATTATTCATCAGCTTGGACTTAGCGGAAATATCAAACTTTTACTTTAGTTTTACTTTTTCTAAGAAGGAACTGAATGTCAAAAAGAAAATTAAAATCTCGATGTTTTTTTTTTTTTTTTTTTTTTTGTAAATGGTAACTAACAGGACAAAATTCCAGCAAAAAAACAAAACCCTGGCCTCTCATCCCAAAAGTAGACAAAATCCCAGTCTCGTAAATAATAACAGTTTCATAATTAAAATTAAAAAACAAAATTTAACGTTAAAAATTCAAGGAACTTTTAATTCAAATTTTAATGTCAAATTGCGACAATCCAATCTTCACTTATGTAAAATATCCAATATACACCCCAATCCAATGTCAAATTGAGACAAAAAAAATACAATATTTTTTTTTAAAAAATGCTTACAAATGCTCATTGCATAATAATAAATGATCGCTTGAAGAAAGTTTGAATAATGCATGACAACGTAGATGTATTACACTTACAGGCGAATGACCTTTTTAATAATTTTAAAAAATAATCTTTTTAATCAGATTGAGACTTTGTCCACTACTTTGGAATAATATTCTATTAAAAAAAAAAAAATAGGCTGGAATTTTGTTTGTCCGATGGGATTATTTTTTTTTTTTTTTTTTTTGTGTCCACTGGGTGTTTGTCATGGATTTGTAATTTTCATTATTTATCTATTTAATTTTTACTTACCTGTATAAAACGAAAGTGTGACTATAAACTCTTTAAAATAAATCATGTGATTAGGAATCTAATCTTTAAGAATAACAATTTTAAAGTCGGAGTCTTAAAAAAAAAAAAAAAGAGTAAAAAAACAATTTCCGAAAGCAAAAGTTTTTTTTTTTTAAGTAGAAAAAAAATGAAACAATAACAAAAAAAAAAATCATCTTTTAAACTTTTTAGCGATTAACAACTGCGAAATCTGATTTAGGAGGAAAAAAATTTAAGAAAAAAAAAAAAAAAAACTTACCAATCAACTGGTTTGCCTTTCATATCACGACAGCCGATAGATTGTTTCGCGGCAAAGACATTGTTTAAAAAACAAATAATTATCACTAACATGAATAGAGAAACGGGCACTGCCCTAAAAGTTACTCTCATGGTTCAGGTTCTGGTTACAGGTTATTGTCAGAAGATTTACGGCTACGAGTCTACACATCAATAAAAATGCAAGTAACTTGACAGGTTTTATATATACAGGAAAAAGAAAGAAAAAAGTTTCACTAACTTTGATCTATTTCATACAGACACAAATGATCTGCTTATTTTCATAGTAATATTTCAGAGTAACTTTGGTGCATATACGCATGCAATTGAAAAGGGAGAGCACTCATTCATCAAAAATTGAACATGTGACTTCAAAAATGTGCATTTGAAAAAATTTTAACTCTGCTCAAATTTCATTAAAATGTTTTTCAAATAATTATTAAAAAATGTATGAAAGTTTTAGTGACGTCATTTTTTAAAATTTACTTCCCAATTTTATTCTTATTAACCTTTTCCGCAAAAACAATTTTTTATATATGTTTTCTGTTTTTCTAGGGAGTGCTTTATACAGGATATGTGACTACAAATAACAAATTATTCAGCATTTGAAAGCCCAAATTTCAAATTAACTTCATTCTCGTCAGTCTTATTTTAAAGCAGTCCCAAAATCACAACAGTGAAATTCTAAATTTAATAGCATTAGGTTTTCAAAATAGCTTACAATGGCTACCTTGTTTGCTTAAATTGTAGTGTTTTGAAGACAAACTTTAAAAATCTATATAAATAAAGATTTGGTAAAATGAACAAATTACACAGATTCAAATTATAACAAACAGAGCATATTCTTTTAATTAATCCATTTCAGACAAAATAAAAACCTCTTTTATTGAAATTGTTAATAAAGTACTACTATTTTTCTTTTGTTACAGAAGATATTTAAATTTGAAAACAAGCTTTTCTACATTTTGTATGATTTAGTCTACCTAATTTTTATAATCAATTTATAAATAATGTTATTCTACCTTGGATTTTTTAGTTGTTAATGAGATTAAAGATTCATGTGATAAAGACAACAGATTTGTGGACATGATTAGGAAAGCCAAAAAGAAATGTTGTTTGGTGTTATATAATTTCATCTGAAATTATATAAATAGGAATGAAACCATGTCATCTAAATTTTTAAGATGAAGAATTATTTTTATTTATTTGAAAAGATATCTTCATCTTGATTGTTATAGTCACAAAAATTTGGCCATTGTAATCTGCAGCCTTCTTTCTTTTTTATTTTATTCTTAGAGGTTGGGGGGAATAATTTCTGTAGATTAGCATTTATAAGAAATTTCTCAAGAATTTTCAGAATTGAAAAATATTGATATTTTTTACACAGATTCAAATGATAGCAGATACATTATTAGAACATAAATAAAATATAATTAACTCATCATCTATAAAGAAAGATTAAAAGATAAAAGATAAAATTTAGTTCTTCCCTCTATGACCAATCTTTTTCTTTTTTTTTTTTTGGTCATACAATTGCTTTAATGATGGCAGTAATTTCTTTTTATACTAGATCATCCAACACTTTAGGATAGATCATGGCAGAGATTATTTTTTATGGACTCACACCCTACTGAAGCCAAAAACAAATCCATAACTTTTCTCCTCCTCTAGCTTTGGTGTCTTTTAACTTTTTAACTCTCTTGCTGATGCTGCGAAACATCTAAGCTAGGTTTCCACATATTCAGGATCCCCCCATTGTGGCAAAGTAACTGATTGACAACACCATATTGTCATGATAGGTATTCTATCTGACAGATGTAGTCTCATCAAGAGAAGATAACTCCCCTGTAAGTATGGCAATAATGCCTTTTATAGAGTACCTAATTTACATATCACTACAAGTACTATTTAAATTGACTGGTCCACTCATCAATTTAGAAGGAGGGTCCTGTTCATAATATAAATATGGTATCAAATTGATCCCTGACTTATAATTACATTTATAATAACCAAAATACATGAATTATTAAATTATGGTGTTTAATTATATAGTGTTTGTGAAGAAACTCTTTAAAAAGCCATATAAATTAAGATTTGGTAAAATTAACAAATTAAAGAGATTCAAATTATAGCGGACACATTATTAGAACATATTCCATTAATGAATCAATTTCAGACAAAAAAAAAATCTCATTTTATTGAAAATGATTAATAAGATATGGTATCACTACTGAGTGGATACTAAATTGAAACAAAATTTAATTAGCTTATTATTTATGGAGAAAGATAAAAATTGCACAGCATTTAGAATAAATATCAACTTATTAATCTGCAATGTGTCAGCTTTTAAGCATACATAGTTATTAAATTATCAAAAAAGTCATACTCTTCAAGTAAGATATATTCAAATTGAGCCAAGCATTTTTCTGTTAAATATTTTTGCAGATTTACGCCCACTACTTTGTCTGTGTGCCAAGTATAAATAAAAAGACACCACATGATAGCTTGCAATTGAAGTAAAAATCTGAGTCAAAATAGTAAGAAATTTGGCGCATAAACTGCAACGACCCGAAGCAAACCACTGCTCATGACAATATCGGCCACGACCAGGCGGCCCTCCTCATCCATATGGACAATGTCTACCCTTGCATCCAAGGAACGTTTGACTAACAAGGAAACACCCTTGGACCACTGGTCCCCGTATGCTGAAAAGACAACAAATTTGTCAGACAGTACATGAGCATCGATGTCGCAAACAAAGTGTGTCTCCTGTATCACGGCCACATCCACACAAAAGGACAAGAGATCACGAAGTAGACAGGCAGCCTTACTTCAATCTCTCAAGCCCTTCACATTTCAAGCTAGCTAGCTTAATAGACATCTTTTAGATAATTTTAAATAATAGAAATCTTCATATATCTTGTTTATTTTCTGTCATATGAAAATTATCTTTATAAGAAGAAAATGGACGAAAAAAAACCACAAAGAAATATCTCAATAATTTCTAAAATATGAAAATTTTTGGATTTACACTTCTTTCTTCTTTTCCTTTCCTATTTTCTTTTTTGGACAAGTTGAAAACTTTTACAAGGACAGATTTTCACCATCCACAATATAATAGCCATTGTGGTTTCAAGCAATATTCCACAGATGTACATTAAAAAAAGAGTCTGTAAATTAGGTAAATGTTTTATTATAAGAGAAAGGAAAAATTCCTTTTCTTCCTTTAGAAGACAATTTACTTATTTACATTGTTTGCACTCTGACTATTGTCTTCATCTTTTTTGTTTTTATCACAACATTTTAGAGATTGTACCGTCCAGTTTTCATCAGGGGCTTGCCAATCCAAGTAACCTACAAGGAATTTCAAACTGAATCCTTCATTTAATCTACAGAGATAGACTATTCTCATTCTGATGTCCACATCTAGAACAAAGAGAATATATTGCTAGACATTGTTACAGGACTCACCACTTAGGTGTGTATGTTCTTTAGTAAATATTTACAGGTTCCTGATACATTTGTCCCATAAACAATATTGTTAGACTCATATGAGTCTGAGCAAAAATAAGTGACAAAAACATGGAATTTAAACAAAGAAATATATATAAATATGTTAAACAGAAATGTTGCAAAAAGAAAAATGAGAAATTAAAGTAGTGAAGAGTTCAAAGCAACCTTCAGTACATGTCTCTGATGTACTTACATACTGACAGAGCAAGAAAAGACATCTTGCCACTGCCAAAATCAAAAAAGAAAGATGAAGAGACTGTGATTATCATCAGGCAGTGGTAATCCAGCAAATACTCCTCCCAGAAATCTGATTTGTTATGTATGTTTCTAAATGTCATGTCCAATGTACAGTGCAACCACTTTTTGCTGTTATTGGAAGTATTGAGATTTTAGGTGAACTCATGTTACATTTAGAAAATGAGAAATAAAGTTGTGAAGAGTTCAAAGCAACCCTCAATATGCGTCCCTGTGATACTTACATGCCAACAGAATTAGAAGAGAATGTTTTGTCACTGCCAAAGTCAAAAAGGAAAAAGGAAGAGGCTTTCAAATCTTGCACTGCCTCTAATTATTGTCAAGGGGCAGTAATTCAGTATCTTGCTGCCTTTGATTGTCATCAGGGAGCATTAATCTAATACAGACAGTGTAATGAGAACAAACTACCCCTGTATATTAAATAAAGGGTTTATTTTGAAGTTCATTGAAATTTACTCAGATCGACAAGCACTTGATGAAAGCTGAAAGGTATACAAGACTAAAATGTTGTGATGATAACAACAAAGATGAATAAAATAGTCCAAAACTATATAATGTAAATAATGATAATTTCTCACCTCAGAAATTCTGGCAACTCTGTTTTCTTAAACTATAGATACTGTCTGTTCAGAATGTTTCAGATGTGTACATTAAAAAAAAAAAGAAGGATAAATGCTACATTTCCTTTCTTAAGAAAACAACTCATTTGCTATAATATTCCAGATATGGATTGCAGTTGTATGCAGCCAGCATTGGTTCAAGTACCATTGTATTTAGATGTGCACCCACAACCCGAATAAACAAAGATTGAAATTAATGTGGGTTTATCAGCAATACAGTGGAAAAATTCTGAAGCCCCCTAGGCACTTCGCTATTTTCGGGATGCCTCAAGTGCCAGGCAATAAAATCATCCCCCTCCTGAAGAGATACTGCCAAGGGGAATAACTCTCTGGTGCTTAAGGTAATAATACTGGCAAAGGAGTGAATTCCTTTTAAATTCATGCAAAACATTTATTGTACCACTGGCAACAGCCCAAATATCATGGTATTTACTTGTCTCCTCATGGTTACAAGATGTGACACAAGGTTGATTTCATGTTGGGTACCCGAGCAGATATACCTGATACAGGGCCAGAAATTGCCCAGCCCTTGCAACCAGCAGTTGCACTGGCATCATTAGTATTACTACTGATCTCCAACTTTTGTACAATGAGAGGGTACTGCCATGGGCAGCTGTTCCCTGGGATTGGGCATCTCTTGATATTTTTTCAGTTGCACTCTATTCACAGACAGAAACACAACTGAATTGCACTCTGCCAAAAGACAGAGATGCCAACAGATGTCAA